TGATTAAGATAAAGAATTATTGGATTCGATATTGAATTGATTGTTTGATTGAATTGATTGTGTGAATGAAGGATATTGAATTGATTATTTGATTGAATTGATTGTGTGAATGAAGGAAGTTTTGAGAAAGAAGATGCTGAAGGAAGAAGATGATGCAAAATTGTAATTTGGTGAGCCCCACTTTTGTTTTTGTGTTGGGTATGACCATGTCATCATTTATCCACATGTACAACTGACGTGGCTTAAATTTTTGATATATCTGTGAGTTAACGGACGATTTTTAATAGAAGGACCAAATCGGGGTAAAAATGGTAAATAGTAGAGATGAAATCAGGGATTTTTTTAGTTTAGGGACCAAATCGGGGGTCCATACAATAGTTCAGGGACCAAACAGGGGTTTTAACCTCTTTTTTTTTTTGTTTTGTTTTGTTTAATAATTTGTTCATAAAAAAGTGTACGTGTTATTATCAGGACGGTTGTCAGAGTAGGAGAAGCAGTGTATTCTTAATTCCGGAGAGAAATTTTCGATTGCGATCCAACAAATTTCAAAAATTTTTCATTCAATTCAAAACATATTCCACAAAACCTTTTTAAATTCTGTTTTCTTTTTTGTGTGTCTGGAAAATATAGAAAAATCACAGGTTACTTTCAACCTTTTCCTTCCGTTTCTCTTGTTTTCTCGGTAACCAAACGCATTCTGCCTGTTCTGCTACGTTTGGATTCCAGCGTAGGGTGTGTGAGCATATCTGTCGTTTCCTTTGTCGTTGTGAAGAAGATTTCGAAGCTAGATAGAGAGAGATTTTTCTGGTAAATTTTGAGCTGGATGGCTAGATTTGGTGCAAAATGGAGGGGATTGAGATCAGTCGGGATGAATTTGTTTAGCTTTGCATTAGCTTTTGCGTTAGTTTCAGCTGAGAGAAGCTTGAAGCGTGAAGCTGAAAGCGGCAGCAATGGAGCGGATGAATATGGAACAAATTATATTCTCAAAGCTGTTAATTTCTTGTGGCAATCTGATCGATCGGGTTATCAACATGTCTGGCCTGTAAGTTGAACATTCAATTTGCCTACACTTGGACTTTTTGTTTAGATTCTTCTTCGCCTCTAATTCATGCTGCTTTTCTTAATTGAAATGTTTGAGATTCAATACCTAATTTCTTTAATTGTTCGTGAGTTGCAGTCTCAAGTTGAAGTGTGAAAAATCAAAGGTTTATGTAGGCGTTTTAGATTTGCACTGTTTATGAAATGCGAGATTGTTATTATTATTATCTTATTAAGTGTTAGATTGATTGATTGATATAGATATTAAAATGTATTTATGAATATGACTGGTTTTGGCCCAAAAATATCTATATAACTGGTGTTTCCTTACAGGAAATGGAGTTTGGTTGGCAAATTGTCGTTGGCGGTATTGTTGGGTTCTTCGGAGCAGCATTTGGGAGTGTAGGAGGAGTTGGTGGTGGTGGCATTTTTGTCCCCATGCTTAGCTTGATTATTGGATTTGATCCTAAGTCTGCAACAGCTATATCAAAATGTAAGACAAGTTAATCTTGGTTGCAAGTTAAATTATAGGATTAGGGCCATATACTGGATTGATGAATGTTGGAACGGGGAAAGGCAAGGAACAGAGTGAAAGTTACTCCTAAGAACAAAAAAGCAAAGAGAAAATGGGATTAGACTGTACAAATCCTACCTTGCTCTCAGAGTTCAGTTTCCATGTCTACTGAAACTCCTTTTACAAAATCTGAGATTGTTCCACATTGACTGAAAATGGTTTTGACATGATCATTACAAATTTATGTCAAGAAACAGGACCTCATCTTGTATTCTTTATGTTTTTGTTAGGCATGATCATGGGTGCGGCAGGTTCAAGTGTTTACTACAACCTTAAGCTAAGGCATCCTACACTTGATATGCCTGTCATCGATTATGATTTGGCTCTGCTTATTCAGCCAATGCTCATGCTGGGTATTAGTGTTGGTGTCACTTTCAACGTGATATTTGCTGACTGGATGGTTACAGTTTTACTTATTTTTCTCTTTATAGGTAATGATTACTCAGTTTGAGTTGTGACTTCTGGGCATTCTCTCTGAGTCAAACTCATTTGTTAGTTATGGTGGGTTGTAGGAACATCAACCAAAGCATTCTTGAAGGGTGTTGAGACATGGAAAAAAGAAACCATAATGAAAAAGGTGATCTTCTTGTCCTATCACTTACATTTTATGCAAAGTTTGGTCTTTGGAGACATATGGACTACATTTTCCATTCTGACACAACTTACATTGCAAGTTCTCTCACAGCATTTGGAAAAAGTGATTAAAATTTATTCTAACTGAAAGCTACTTGTCTTTGATTTCAGGAGGCTGCTAGGTGGTTGGAATCAAATAGTAAGAACTCTTGCTGTTTCTTCAATTTACATAGAGCATTTAAGTGATGTTTAATCATGATTTTTTCTCTGAAATAGTCCATTTATATCTTCCATAACTGTGACATCCATCAGGTACTTCTAGTGCAGAGGTGGAATACAAGCCCCTTCCTGGTGGTCCAACCAATAGCCCACAAAATGATGCCAAGGACCATGAAGTTAGTCCACTCTAATCTCCTGTTATTTGATATCAAATAATACTTAATGCTAATGTAAAGCAATTATGCAGGTCACTGTTTTTGAGAATGTTCGCTGGAAGGAACTTGGACTGCTTGTTTTTGTTTGGGTAGCATTTCTTGTATTGCAGATTGCTCAGGTCATGATCATTTTTCTCCCTTATAAGATTTAAATATTTTCATTTTGAGTGTAATTTATTGAGGTCTAACTGATTAAAGATGATTTTTGTCCACAGAGTCATACAGCTACATGCTCAACAGTGTATTGGCTATTGAACTTGTTACAGGTAAATTTCATTGTTTTTCTCTTACATCCATGTCACTTGTTTTTGTTTAAAATTTGTGACCATCCTGATGAAGACTTTGTTTCTGAATGTTGTAACAACTGAATCCGATCTTCATAATGACAATTTCTTGAACTCCGTCCTGTTTTCTAGATTCCAGTTTCTCTTGGGGTATCGGGATACGAGGCAGTTAGTCTCTACAATGGGCGGAGAGTAATTTCATCAACGGGAGAGGATGGCACAAGTTTCCGAGTGTTTCAGCTTGTTAGCTACTGTGCTTGTGGGGTTCTGGCTGGAATTGTTGGTGGTCTTCTTGGTCTAGGTGGAGGATTTATCATGGGTCCACTGTTCTTGGAGCTGGGGGTCCCTCCTCAGGTGAGTTTCCTGTGTTCATAGATTCATTAACAAGAAATAAATCCGTTAGTATGCGCATCAATTTCAAATTTAGAGTACACCATGCACGTCAATTTCAAATTTAGATCACAAGAAGCAGTAGTTGATGTACTTGATATTGCCTTATGGTTCATTACAAGAGCATCATCAAGTAGACTTTTATGCACCCTTCGTGGTTTCTCTGAGCTGCTGAAATGCCAATGCACAGAGTGCAGATCAGAAAAATTGAATATGTGCCTCACCATGGGTAATTCCTAAGTGATAGATCCACTCTGTGGAGTTAGCAGTCTCATGCTTTCTGGATCATCATTAAGATACAAAAAATTTTAAAAGAATTAACAAATAATGGCAAATGAGGTGGCTTTTACATGCTAGATATTTTTGCAAAGCACCAACAGATTTGGAGGATTGGGTTACAGTAAATGTGAAATGTATAGAAGGCTAGCATGGTAACATAAAGAATATAAGTATATAACTGTAACACAAATTCCTCTTTGACATTTATGATCTTCTACCTTATTCGTTATCCAATTGGGTTCTAACTTCGCTGTGACTAATGCACAGGTCTCAAGTGCTACTGCCACCTTTGCCATGACATTCTCCTCGTCAATGTCTGTTGTAGAATATTACCTTCTGAAGCGTTTTCCTGTACCCTACGGTTAGTTCGTGGATCAATACACCCATGTTATTTTCTTATCATCATAAAAATCCATCCCAGCTTTACAGAAGAATTATAATGTAATTTTTAGCTCTAAAGTAGAGCTATTTTTTGTCAACGTTTTTGTGGCCTTAAACGTTTCATATATTATCTGGCAGCTCTTTACTTCACTGCTGTGGCGACCGTCGCTGCTTTTATTGGGCAGCATATTGTGAGAAAGCTGATTATTATGTTTGGAAGGGCATCGCTCATCATATTCATCTTAGCCTTCACAATATTTGTTAGTGCAATATCACTAGGTGAGAACTGATATTAGTCTGGTGAAATACACTTTCCTGTACTTGAGATTATGCTAAACTTTACACAATCTGATATTATTTTTGTCTCCTTGGTAGGTGGTGTCGGCATATCAGGGATGATTGGCAAGATCCACCAGGGTGAGTACATGGGATTCGAGAACCTCTGCAAGTACACTGCCTAGCATGTTTCTTCTGTTTCCTTCTTTCCTTCTCCCCTTTTAATCCCTCCATGTTGTAACTTGTAGCTGTTCTTCTTAGGCATAAATTCCTCTGCAACTATTTAATTTCCTTTTGGTATCATTTACTTTGTAAACGGGAAGGAAGGACACACTTTGCAACTATTGATTTGTAGTGATGGAAGTTTGCTGTTCGAAATCATGTACAGGCGTGGATGCTTTGCCAGAGAAAGATAAATGAATGAGAATGATTGGTTTAAAAAATTAATTTTTCCGACCATTGCGCTTCTTGTCATGGCCCAAGGTAAGGAAAACTTATCATTACCAAATCAAAGCAGATTTTCTTGGCAAATAACTTTCCACGGTTTCGTGATATAGAAATTTTGAACATAAAAACTTCGACTTTCCTCTTAAACATTTGAAAGTGTTAAATGCATTGAGATAATGCGAGGTGATTTTTTTTTTTTTTGATTTGATTGTAAATGAGTGATAATTTATTTTCATTTCATAATTCACTCCGATTGCATATCATATGATATGAAGTTATGATTTTTTATTTTTAATCAAAAAAATTATTATTAAAATATTTAAGTTGTTGGTGAAAGGTGATTATTTAAAATGCTAAAAAAATATTAATTTTAAGATGTATGAAAACTTATTGAAAATTATTTTAACATATTAAAAAAAGTTAAAGACAACATCTAACGGGAGACCAATTTTTTTTCCCAACATAAGTGCAGCGAGCTCCATGGATTGATTAGATTA